GGGCTGTGGGGGGTCTCTCAGTATCATCATGTAAAATGGAGGACTATTAGTCCTCCATTGTATGTGGAAGAGGCAAGCCTGTGACCGTGGCTAGAAGTGCCTTGAACAGGAGGCGTCAGGGGATCAGTTGCACAGATGAAGGAAGCCTGCCAGAGCGAAAAATTGGGTAAGTTCTACACTTTATTGCTCTACCCCTAGGCAAAAACATTCATCTCTTGCAGTGTGGGGGCCCCATTGCAAGAGGTTTTTGTTACAGCCCGAAGTTCAACTTTAAGGATGTACGCTTACATTCTTACATGTATTTTCTCTTGTTGTATATACATTTTAAAGCCCACCTCTGAGCTCCAGTATCCCAGTGGACCCCCTTCCCTCTTGGAGGCCCCTCACTAGTATGTTATGCTTTATTAATTAATTCATTTATTAGTTTTACTTCCTTTACTAAGTCATGTGATGCTTCAGGGTCTCTTTCAATCTTTTTCAGTGGTGGAAAGTCCTCCATTATGCAGTGTGATGCTAAACTGATTACATCAGCGCATTTCTCTGCATCATTCCACTATGAATGCAGAAAGTCTTCCCAGGGGGAGGTTCCATGGCAGTGTACTAACATGATGTTCTCATCATTCCTACCAGAAAACATGAGGACATCGAGTGTTATAAAGTATGTACTGCAGGGGGCAGCACTTATTTTCAGCTCCTGCTGTGGGACCCATTTGTAAAAAAATTTGCCTGAAGTTGCCCTTTAAGATAATTTACCTAACTTTTCCTTGAAAACATGTCCAAGCTTCTTCACATTGAAAATTGAAACCCTTGTAAAGTAAAGCTCAGGGCCGGATTTCCCACAAGGCCAACCAAGGCCCGGCCATCGTGGCAGCAGGGAGTAGAGGGGCAGCAGGGGTGTGGAATTCCTATCTCCCGATGCCCGGGTCATGCAGTTCCAGGCACCAGGCAGGTAGTTGTTTTCTACATTTAGCCCTGCTTTGTGCAAGCAGAGCTAAATGTACAGCGGGGAAGACACTGCTTGTTTTGGCCTTGGGGCAGCAGAGAGCGTAAATCCGGCCCCGGTAAAGCTCTATCCAAAACTTGTGTTTGCTTTTGCATAGAGTGTGGTAGGTTTGAATCATCCATCATGTTTTTTACTGCTGTCCTCCCTATTGTAAAAGGAAGCCTTGGTTCTGTGATTGGAGGAGGAGAGAAGGGGGCGGGGATGTGACATAATCTCTCCTCCTTCAATCACAGAACATCTTGAGTTTTTTGAAAAAAAGAATACATAGCATTTTGTGAATGGCCAAGTATTGAGGAGTGGCGGATGATGCGACCAGAGCACTTCACTGCTCGAGTCACCTCCCTCACTCCCCGCAGTGCCTGGAAGAACGGCGTTATGTGTAGGAGCCGGCATGCTGCAAGATAAGATTTCAAAACTTTGCAGTGTCCCTCCACACATAACATGCAGCTTTTTAATGATAATTTACACATATATTATAATTTTTCCCAGAATTTGGGGGGGGGACACGGAGAAGCAGGCTGTACAGCCGCCCAGATCACTTTTACAAAATGGCTCCCCCACTCTACATTTATCCCTGCCCGGCGCCCAGAACTGCATTTCCCAGGCATCGGGCGATAGGAATTCAGCACCCCTGCATTACACAAACAGATGATATGGTTGGTTTTTATGTGCCCAGTGCAATCTTTATTGTCAATGCAAAAGATGGGGTGGGGCAAAGCTGCAACCTTGCCTCTGCTCCCTATCAACCGCAGTCCATCTCTGACTAATGGTGAATATGAAACGGCAGCTTATATCTTTCTGTTTGGTTAGGTTTTAGTTGACATGTAAACAGCAGTATAATGTCAGGTCCAATGTTGTTCACAAGGATCTTAGAAGTCCTACGTTTGACTGACATGTTTCTAAAATTGGAAACCCCTTTATGAAAGCTAGTCTTCATCAATAACGCCTTCATTTGTAGCATTAAAGGAGAACTATGAGGTGAGTGATTTCCACTCATACTCATAGTTAGAGCTGACTTGTGACAAAGAAGCTGTCACAGGTCGGCTCTATCAATCGAGAAGTGAGCAGAAACATGACGCTGATCCGCTCACTTCACGATCGTCCCCCTGAAGTGAGCGGTGACTGTCAGTCACCGCTCCCCGCATTGATTCCCCTCTCCGATCCTCCAGCACTGAGTGGAGGAACGAACGGGGGAGGGGGCGGGCCCAGCTGGCTCAGCCTCTAGATAGGCCGAGCCAGCTGCCACTCACGCAGCTGGGTGGATCTGGACAGTAATGTCGGGATCCGTCCCGGCTGCAGCGCTCTCAGTACATGGCAGGCAATAGCCAGCGATATACTGAGTTTTGGGTCACAGGAGGAGGTTAGTATATGTCCTCCCGTGACCCTAAAGAGAACTATGGGGAAAAACACTTACCCATACTTCTCTTTTAATGTATGTATTCCCAGCACCCCCTAATTCATTTCCAATGACTAAACATACTTAGATCTATTTCACTCATGATTTATTATTTGCTAGAAGTCTAAACTGTTATGAGTTTACACGCATAAATAACCCTTTAAACCCCCAGAAATCCCCCTTAGGATACAGGTACTATTGGTTTACAACATACAGTATGCGTTAAGGGTTCCTAACCATAGGTGAAATGTAATCCTAATTAAAATGCCCTTTATTATGAGTAGCACTATATACACAGTCCTTGTTTAGCCAATTGCTTCAAGCATCTTCATCAAATTGAAAGGTACTATATAAATAACATGGACATATATCAATAGTGTACCATATAAAATGGAAGCTATCTCAGCCAGAATGTCGTCAGAGACCAACAGCATTAAGTAAGTGCTTAAATTTAGGCATGAGGTCACAAATTGAAAGCGAATATATAAGTGAAACAGCCTGGTACTACTTTCACATCCCCAGTGTTGACTAAAGACTGCACTGCTGCATCTATACCTTTTACTGCTGCATCAATAAATGAAGTCATTACTGGCACAGCCACTTAACTGTTTAGATGGACTACAGACGGAGGTGCAGTGAATAGCAAGGTGTGGTTAGGAATGGGGAGCACTGAATCCTTGCTCATTTATTTACATAAATTATTGATGCATCATTACCAGTATGACCTTGTCATTGTATAATGTTCTTCATTCCAGGGAACAGATTGAGCCAACAAATATCTCTAATGCCAGCCATTGACAAATGGAAAGCCTATGCAGATCACTCTATTTGAAGAAGTTATAATATAGTGCAACCAGTAGCAAAAAAATACTAAATATTTGATCACCCCCATGTACGTTCAGTCCACATTGCTGTATTTCGTGCATAGGAACTATAAATAATTTTAATTGCCCATATTACTCCATTATGCCAACACGGGTTTTTAATTGTCTACCGTGCCCAGGGGGAAATGTTCAAACTTTGCTTGTTGGCATAAACGTCTATGAACAGGTGTCTATATAGCTTTACCTGTTTGCATTAGAAGGTGGTCTTAGGGCCTCGGCATATTATTGATGTGCTAGAAGAGGCTTTTAATGACCTCTGTTGTAACAGGCGTCTTAGGAAACTTTCCTATGTACAGGAAAGACACCTTGAGGCTCCCTATATGTATGAAAGTAGGTTATGGTGTCAACATACTGAAGTTTTTTCTGACATCAAAAAGGTAGTGTGCTAGTTGGAGACATGTGCTGGTCAGAGCCATGGGCTGGTCGGAGCTATGGGCTGGTCGGAGCCATGGGCTGGTCTGGGCCATGGGCTGGTCTGAGCCATGGGCTGGTCTGAGCCATGGGCTGGTCTAAACCATGGGCTGGTCCGAGTCATGGGCTGGTCAGAGCCATGGGCTGGTTGGAGCATTGGGCTGACCAAAGTTATAGGTTGATTGGAGCCATGGCTGTTCCCAGTTAATAAAGATGTTGTCCACATTATCAGACCTAAATTGCCCACAATGAGTCAATTTTTTGGTGCAACCCGAGCTTTAAATATCAGATATTCAGCACCCAGGACAAAACCAACACCCAACAAACCCTCTACAGGTATTCCAGGTAGATTCTATATTCAGTAGATTACCCAGTCAAAATAAACTTTCCAGGTTGATTGAAATATTTGGATGTTTAAATAATGCATCATGCATAGAAAGCCCAATCTGTACATCTATGGCAACCCATAAGTGGCTACCACATTATTTTCCTTTCAGATTTTTACTCACATTCTGTGCAGATCTTATGTTCCTGTGAGACTCCTAGGCATAGATGGTTCTACCTTTAGGCAAGGAGACAGTCTAATTTCTGGTGTTACCCGCATTTAAAACTTGAACTTGTTTTCCAATAACTTAATGTGTCTTGCTTTCATGTAGACTAAAGCCGTCCATACACTATGTTTTTTCTCGTTCAGCCACACTAGGTTATTATATTCTGACAGCATCCAATGTGGGCTTTACCTGTGCAAATGCAATTTGCCTAGAAACGCCCGCTGCTCCAGACTGACGTCTCCTCCTCAAGGCATTTTGTTATTTGCACAGAGAAGGAGAAGGGAAGAACCAGGGAATTAAAAATTTAGGCAAATTCATCTTCAGCTTTCAGCTCTAGTTCAGACTTTTTGACCTAATGCATGTAGAAATGTATGGCAAAAAACTGCCTTTGTAACAAAACTATAGTGGTTGTATGAAGTACCACTGCATCTACCCCTGGAGGCTGCAATCCCATCTTAGAGCACTGGAGGGGAATATATTGATGTCAACATGTTGTTCCCCTGCTTGTGAAGACGTCCGATACCATGCATGCTGATTGGGGCTATTGGATACCTCCCCTCATGGACAGATGCTATATACAGAGCCTCTGGAAATGCTCGTAATACATTATATTAATGTTAGTGCAGTGTCTGTCATCATCAAGGTGCCAGGACCCAATGGAACAAGCAGATACTCCAAAACATTTTAGACTGTTTTATGATGCAATAAAGTTTAGCTTAATAACTGATGTTCCTTTTTTCTCTTCTGTTTCTCAGGTCTGGACACATTTTCTAGAAATGTAACTTGTGCAAGAGGTGAGTATGTTACAAGAGCACAAGGAGCATAATAACTGACTCTGTGCCCTGTAGCATTCAGCTTTTAAAACTGTTATAGTGATATCAAGAACAACTTTAAAGTGTATCTAAACCAAAAACCCAAAATGTCATATATTGCAGCCTATCAATCCTTAGACGTGGTGGCTGCATTCGTTTTCTTTTTATTCAAGCATTTTCCTTTATTTTCACCTGGTGATCCACTTCCTGTTCTAGGGTGACAACCCTCACTCATCCTACTGTATCTATGGAGGAGCATTGTTGTCACCCTAGACTGCTGTCCTGATTTGGGCTGCAAACACCACCTTCTCTCCTCATCTCCATAACACTGGGGGGGAGGGAGGGGGGGGTGTTTGCTGTAGTTTATAGAAGTGAACGTGTGAAAGCTGATACCATTGTTTGCGATTTTAGTGCACAGGAAGTTACAAGAACACTGGAATTCTTGCAGGATCAACAGGTCTTTTTTTTCTGTACTTGTAAAAAGAAATACTTAGCCTGAAAAAAGTTTTAAAAAATGGAGCCAGCACATTTAGTCATCATATATTATTAATTAGCTATTTATAACATGGGGTTAAGTCTCTGGGTAAATAAAAACTATCCTTGCAGTGGGGCTACCCCCTCAATGAAAGGGTTAACTGTCTAGGGGAGATGTGTAAAGGACTTTTACTTAAAGGAGAACTATGAGGTGAGTGATTTTCACTCAGCCTCATAGTTCTAGCCGACCTGTGACAATAAAACTGTCACAGGTCGGCTCAATAGATCGTGAAGTGAGCGAACACATACCGTCGCTCACTCACTTCTCGATCTATCCCTGCAGAGAGCCATGACTGTCACTCACGGCTCCCTGCAGGGATTCCCCCCTCCCCTGTCCGATCCTCCAGCGCTGACTGGCGGAACGGACTGGGGAAGGGGGCAGGTACAGCTGGCTCTGCCTCTAGATAGGCAGAGCCAGCTGTCAATCACGCAGCTGGGTGGATCTCGACAGTAATGTCGGGATCCGTCCCGGCTGCGGTGTCCCAGTATACCGCGAGCTGCAGCTCGCGATATACTAAGCTTTGGGTGATGAAGGACGCTAGTTTGTGTCCTCCCGTTACCCTTAGGAGAACTATGGGGAAAAGCCCTGACCCCATAGTTCTCCTTTAATTGATGCCCGCTCCCCCGGCAGTCAATGCTCACCTCTCTCCACTGTGCGCCGACTCATGGGCTGTCCCTCAGCATCCTCATGTATAATGCACGGCTATTGGCCCTGTATTAGAAGTATTGATGTCAGGGGGATTGGGGAAGAGTCTGTGCGGGTCTTGGAGTCAGCAGGACCGGGGACCAGGTAAGTAAAAGTATGTTATAAAGGTCCCCCAGACATAAAGGAGCAGTTAAAACTAGCAGTGCGGAGGTAGTCCCACTGCGTGGGTAGTTGTTTTTTTTTACCTTGGAGATAGGCTTTAAATAATTTCTAATATTACTCTTCTCACCCAACTTTGGCCTTGTGTTAGGTGCAAGATGGATAAGACACTAGAGATGCGCCCTAGTACTCCAAGCGTCAGGGTGATTGATTTGGGCTGGCAAGGATCACTAAACCCAAGTCCACTAGACAACAATGAAGATGAAAGCCTGGTAGATGAGTACCTGTCCCCGGCCGGACTGGTAAGAATTCATCCTGAGCATACACCTGAAGTGCATAAAAAACGTGCTTAATTGATCTTTTCACTAAACATGTCAATATATTTTCTTCTTCACAGAAAACACTTACTGGAACCGATGACCTGCAAGAAGTTACAACCCTCCAGATGTGTGTGGACACTAGGGATCACACCTTGGGGAATTTTGGTGAGGGATGTTTTCTAGGTGAGGGGTTAAGGAGAGGGGCCTATCAGGATCTGTATTTAGTATGCCACAATGATCGCTATGGAAGTTGATTACCTGAACACCATATAAACCTCAACATGCTGATAGCTTCCTGAACTCCATGGCAGATGTAGAATATGTCGCTGATGCTTGTGTTGTAACACTTTGAAACTGCTGTATAAATAGGCACATTGATCCTCCGGCATTGCAGCTCGAACACAATATTTATCTGCCCTTGAGGTACAATTGCTATGAGCTTTGTTTACCAATTGGCACCCCATACTGAATCCTGATGAGGAAATCTGGCAAAACACATCCATGTAGCTGGTCATTATAGTTAAATATCTCTTGTTTGCTCCTTAAAGTGAACCTTCACTCACAAAAAGCATTTTCTGTCTTCTGCCCCCTCCTTTAATGCATTTCTATTTTCTAATATTTATTTTTATAGTGAATATTATTTTTTCCTTTTTACAACCCTCCCCCCCCATCCACGCACACACATACACACACACACACTTATGGATTTCTCGCCTAGGCAAGGATTACACATTGTAGATCCTCCACCTGCTGCCTTCTGGTATATTCACGTCAAAACACCTGAGGTGGCAGTGGGAAAAAAGTATTGCATGATTTTATTGCTGCACATGTGTAGACACGCCGTCGGTCCCTGGGACCTGTAAGACTTTGTGGCGTGTCTGTGCATGTGCTGTATGCATGTGCACAGGCTTCTGTTAGGTCTTTGAGATGTTGGAGAGACTTTGTCTCTGAAAAGTCTACCAGGTCCAAGACTTGTGGTGTGTCTGGGCATGCACAGGAATCCCCTCTCATGCGCAGACATGCTGCAAAGTCTGCCAGGTCTTTGGGACCTGTGATATGTCTGTGCATGTGCGGTATAAAAACCAGAAAGTGGACTTTCCAGATGTTGGCACTGGAGCAGACTGGCGCTGGAAAGCAAAAGCTGCAAGAAAGACAAAGCTGGACTTGCATGAACTAGTAAGTTTTTTTTATTATTATGCAGTAAAATGTATTAGAAAGATGACATTTACATTTTACTTTGGTAGGGCTAAATTTCTTTTTAAGTTTATCAAAAGCCCAAACTTTTTTTTTCATTTTGTATTGAGTAGGGGAGGGTTAAACCGCTGTCAGGTTTTTCTTGCCATGTGGGTCTCTTTAGGGAGATTTCCCTTCACTTCCTGTCCTGCAAACGTAACAGGAACGGAGAGAGGGTATCTTTAAAATGTAAGGGAAATCGCCACTTAGACAGTTGTTGCAGGAACTAGTGTCTCTATTAGAAGATTTTCCCTGTTTTGGTGGCAACTTAATATGAGAGAGTGAATTTTGCTAACAGAGACACTGTTATGGTGACACCCTCTGGCAGGTGACATGTGCTCATCCGAGGCGCGGAGTCTAAGCACCAGCCTGCTTTCACCAGAGCTCTTGATGGTGGAGATGGGCTTAGCTGCTTGCTGATATCAGGTCGTGTCCCCCGGGATCACCCTGATAAGCTATGGACAAGGACAGGAGGGCCCAAATGAGACAGTATTCCAGAGCAAGGTCAGGACAAGACAGAGGTTCCAGAAGATAACCAGACAATGGTCTGAAGGTCCGGGTCTACAGTACAAGGACCCGGAAAATCACTGCACTGTAGTTGCTCTGGCTTTAAGGCATCTCCAGTGGCTGATCAGGTATGGCATATCTATACTTACATTGGGCCATGCTGGACCAATGTAATTAGGCGTAGGAAATTATACAAGGAGTTCAGCTTTAATTTCAGCTGTTTTTAAAGTATCTCTCCCCCGTGCTGATTGCTCACCTTAATGTGCTTCGACCAATTGGGCTTATTCGTAGACTTGGACCACTTATCATCTGTCCGCTTTACATTAGATGGATTTAGATAGACGGATGGAGGGATGGCAGCCCTTCCACAGCAGGACAACCTTTAAAAACGTAATTTTTTCCTGTGCTCATATGCGCCCTTTAGCATGCGAACAAGCACATTACTCTGATCGTTTTGTCCATTGGACAGTTCAGATCAGAAAAAGATGAGAGTGGCTCTGTACCATGTGATCACTGTGATCAAACACAGCATAACACGTTGTAAACGATGGCTGCGGTATGTGCGTGAGAGAAAAGAGTTTGCTAATTGTGGCCATCTGGTACCGGATGACACTGTCAAATAAGTTCAGATCCAGTACCAGAAACAGTATCATCCAGTACCCATTTACCTATCTACAGTATATACCAGCTTTATACTGTCTCTGATCTGACTTGCATATTACACCCTTAGCTTGCACATCTGTACATTAATCCCCTCATCTCCACCCTCCTACTGCGTGTAAACGGTAAATGAACCCCTTTGCCTTCTCCTCCCTCTGTGTTTGACCTGTACAGGTAATGTATCTAGTGCAGCATTACCAAGCTTCATGTTTAACCCTTTCAATACCAGCCATGTTTCTTCATTTTCCAAAAATTGTGGCAAACAAATTAGGTGTCTATTTTCCAAAAAGCTGTTTTTTGGGGGGTTTTCACACTTTTATGGCATTTTTATTTGCTATGTTTTTATAACAGAAAATAGGAGAAACAGATTTGTTTCCAGTTTATTGGACTTTTTTCCTTTTATAAAGTAAAAAATGTAAATTCCCATTTTTAAATACCATCAAAAGAAAGCTTTATCTGTCTAAAACAAATGATATAAAAGTCATTTAGGTACAGTGTGGTATGACAGGGCAATTAATCAACGTATCTCAGTGTTGAAAACAGAAAAAAAGCTTGGACAGGAAGGTGGTGTAACATGTTGGTCCTCAAGTGGTTAAAGAGGAATTGCACCCAGACCTTTTTTCAAAGGTTTAGAGAGGATAGGTTAGGGGTAGAACCTCTGTCAGATTTGATTTCTGTCTTAATGTGAGATATCTTCCGGTGTGGACACAAGGAAACAGGCACAACATACAAAACCTCACAGGGGTTTAAATATTTCCAACTCTATTTGAAACTTATATATAACTTTCACTTTTATAAAAATGGCAGGTCTTATATCTAATAATAGATCAAGTGCTGTGTGATCTGAGTCTTCCCCATACAGTTGTAAATAACTAACGGACAAGCAAAAATTAAATTCTATTTGGTGTTTCCTTCTGTCTCTCAAGTGGCTTATATTTCAGCATGTGAAGAGGAAGTGAAACATGATAAAATGGATTCCTCACTGGATAAAGCACTCTTTGCTTTGCATTACTATAGTATTAGGGCTTCTTAAAGTGACACTAAACTCAGGAGTTAAACCTTAAAAGTGCATGTAAGTACATTAAAGGAGAACTATGGGGTTCTATCTTTTTTTTATGAATGCATTCCTTAGGCTAAATGAGTAAATAATGTAATTTACTCTAATTAGCCAAAATGCACAGTAAGGCTGTAAAACCTTATTTTAGGCGGTGGGCGGGGCTAAGCCCCGCAATGAGAAGACATCCCGACGTATCTGACGGGATCCTCCCCACTGATGACTGACAGTGATTCTTGAGATCCTTACCTGCACGTCCCCGTGTGCCAGCTCCTTCCCCCCTCTCTCTCTCTCTCCCTGCTGACACTGACATACTAAAAAGATCGTGGATCGCTGATGACAGAGGGGAAGGAGCTCTCTCTCTCTTCAGCATTTACTACAAATGGGAAAGTCCATATATGGTAAATGATGTCACTGGAGATCCCTGCTGATCGGATCACTTATTTAGCCTAAGGAATGCATTCATAAAAAAAAGATAGAACCCCATAGTTCTCCTTTAACTATTAACAAAAATATATCTTATTTGTGTATCACTCAGCTGTAGATCCTCAAATCCTCTCTGAATTGTCCTTCCTTCTGAATTTTCCTTCCCAAGCTCACTCCCATGACAGACTACAATCTCAATTCAAATTTGTAAACTAAACATGAGATTGTAGTCCATCACAAGAGCGAGCTTGGAGAGGTGGCTACTTTACAACACACCACAGGGACCATGGAGAACAAAGGTAGCCACCCTCCAGAAGGAAGGACAATGTCAGCACCAATTCAGAGATGATTTGAGGATCTGCAGCCGAGTCATACACAAATAAGATACATTTTTGTTAATAGTTTAGTTACTTGAATGCATTTTTAAGGTAACGCCTGAGTTTAGTGTCACTTTAAATTGTGACATATTCCCTTACCATATTCTACATACCGTACTCACAAAACACAAGCAGAGCCGATCAATAAAAAAGTAGAGCTACTTTATAAACCTTGATGAAATGAAAGTACACGTTACCAATAGCGTCTCATCTATTTCCTGATGTAATGATTGCAGCACAAATTAAAGTAAAAGCGTACAGCTGAATAAGTATACCTTTTCTAAGAAAAATATATAGGTTGTCATCGCTGACCTTCTTCTAAAAATGCCAGTTGCCGCGCTGTTATGTTATCTTATGCACCTTCTGAGCCATTGACCTTTCCACAAGTGTACAGGTTGGTAAAGTCAAGGTAAAATCAGAAATCTCAAAGCACTGAAGCCAAAGCATCAGCATGACAGAAGAGTAACAAGTATCTTTAGATTGAGAAATCAGCAGCTTCCATATTCCTGTCAGGAATGGTTTTATTGAATACCCATACCGCAGCTGATCATGTATTGGCTTTTACTTTCGTGACATTATGTATTTTGACAAGAAGTCAATTGAATTTACTTTCTTTTTAAATTGTTATAGGTACTTACATGCCAAACCTTAGACAACTAAAACTGAATAACAGTGTCATATTGTCAATAAGGTAAGGGGGATTTGTTTGTATAATCTTTGCTTATTAAAGATTACAGATAATGATGTTCTTTCAAAAAACAACATAGCACAAAGAATCATAAAGGGTAATCAATATAGGTCGATACAGTTGTATTGGAAATCTAGTCTGAAGCCAAAAATGTACTTCCTATGGTCTGTAACTATACATAGTAAAATTGTTTTATTTTTCTATCAGCCTCCATCTTAAAGTATCATACCCCCAGATTTTTCTTAATTATAGATTGACTTTGGACTGAATCACCTCCTGTATTCATGTATGGCACTGGGACTCCAGTGATGAATTGCGGTGGTGAAATGTTGTCACTATGGGGTCTGTTTATTTACTGTTCAGGTGTAACTGCTTTGTAAATGATTATTTAAATACCTCATCAATAAATATGCTTCTACGAAAGATTCATGATAGACTCTTGTTTATTTCATTTTTCATTTCAGAGATCTGGGCACATCTCTGTCAAATCTGCAAGTGCTTTGGCTGGCACGCTGTGGTCTCACAGACCTCGATGGTATAGCCTCCTTCTATTCCCTTAAGGTAAATATATTTCTAGTGATTGTTCATTGGTTACCCATATAGTCACCATTGAGCCCAGATCATTAACATGTAAAGCAGCAGAAAGCATCATTTTCTAGGCACCAATGTACATAGTTGCCATATAAAATTCAGTGACTTGACTCAAGTATCTAATGTGTGTTTCTGTAGATTTGGTCATAAATCAAAGTATATAATAAAAAACAAAGAATAGTTTATTCTGTTAAAATATTCAGAATATTGGTTAACGTGCACCTACCTTCCATTATGTCTAGAAGTGATGCAAAAGCAGTTTACACAGCTGGCTTGTTATTACCTCTCTTGTCTATAGAAGCTTCCTTTGTGCTCCATCTGGGATTCATTTTACTTTGTTGCACAACATTTTGCCTTTTTGTATAAGCTCCACCCACCACCAATGAGAATGCTTTATTGGCAAGTTCCTTTTATTAGACCGGGAAGTAGTAGATTTGATATGTGAAGGCCTTTCTAGCAAAGTGCAAGTTATGCTACGTGTATCACAGAGGAGGCTTTTGTGGTTATGAGACATCATAGCAATCACACTGGGGTAACTGCTCTTAGGCTTAGTTTCCAATTTAGAAACCAGCAGTGGTACTAACATTATGATCTGCCACACAGCGGAATGTAGGGTGTAGCAGAATTTCTGTTCAGGGTCAGACACGCCTTCATTCCCTCTTCTATATATAGGGTGGCACAGTGGCGTAGTGGTTAGCGATTTCTGCCTTGCAGCACTGGGGGTCCCTGGTTTGAATCCTGGCCAGGTCACTATCTGCAAGTTAGAAACTCCAGTTTCCTCCCATCCTCCAAAGACATGCTGGGGCCAAATTGGCCTTTGTATGTATGCATGTGAGATAACGACCTTAGATTGTAAGCTCCTTGAGGACAGGGACTGATGTGAATGTGCAATGCATAAATTGTTGGCACTATATAAATACCTGTAACAAATAAATATACCAACATCATAATAGCACTTCCAGACGTTTCCCAATAGGTGTGCTGACAAGGGCTCACAGACTCTTCTTGGTAGTCCAAACAGATATACAATGTTTTTGCCTTTAAGGCTCCTACATATGGGCCATGTTGTTGACCCAAACCAAACTTCAGGAGTATTGCCACCATGTGTCTTGCTATGACTTGGTCCGGTCACAGCTGCTCAGATCTGTGAGATGTATTTCTGAAATCCTCCCCAGTTGTTTGATATGAGGCACTCCTAACGTAAGAACAGCTCTCCAGTTTTTCCTTTTGGAGAACAATATTGTATTATAAGAGGACGCTAACCATAAAACGATTTAATAAAAATACATTTTTGACATGGTCGATGAATGCATGCATGTCCCATGAAATCAGTCAGGTTGTCAAAACCTGCTTACTGTCTGGTATTTGTTTGGTGTTCAGTGAGGTTCTAATGTGTTTTTGACCAGTGATTGACCTCTGACAGTGTATTGCCCAATGTAGGAGCTGTACCTGGCTTACAATGATCTCAGAGAAATCAGTCAAGTGAGCATGCTGGAAAATCTGGAGATCCTTGACCTTGAAGGTAACAACATCGACCAGATAAGTGAACTGCAGTACCTGGCACTGTGCAGCAATCTAACAACCCTCACTATAGAAGGCAATCCTGTATGTGTACAACCTAGTCCAGAAGAAACCACGGTAAGTGGACCTGACGCAAATCATTGACTCTTCCATACCTACTGAAAATTTAGAAACCTGTCATGTAATGTACAATTATTGTTGAACATTTCATTAAAGTGACTGTATCATGAGGCAAGTAGGGGGGGCTGACATTGCTGGCCTCCTGAACACAATGTTAGTTGCCCAGCTGTGCCTAACTTACCTGCAAGTACATTTGAATCACAGACCCAAAACACACATGTGATAAAAGAGGGTCATAAAAGTGTCATTGTTTCTGTATCCAATATTTCTATACTTGTTTCAGGTCAGCAACTCAGGCAGCATTGAAGTCATAAGCATCAGCATGAGAGCTATGAAACTAGCATTCTCAAAAAAAGGGTTCAGCAATGGCAGCCTTTTTGATTTTCTCATGACATGGGCCCTTTAAAGTCCATGTCTGGACATTTCATGCATATTTCCCCATGTTTGTCTCTTTAAAAATGTTACAAGTACAGAAAATACTTGTTCATACTGCCAGAAATTCAGTGAACTCCTAATTTCCTGTAGTGAGCAGACGACACAGTGCCTCCGCTGCACTGCAATCCCAAGCAGTGTTATCAGCCTTGCCAAAGCACGGGAAAATGTTCACGTATTGCAGAGATGTAGTGCATATGTTTTTTTTCCCCATATATATAATTTTAAGGCCAGAACAGCTGATCTGCAAGCTTTTTCACAGTCATTGACTATGTAGGGATGGAGGAATAAAGATGACAGCCCCTGAACGTGTACCTTCAGCAGTGTTACCTTCCATATGTTTTTGCTGACAGGTTCCCTTTAAGTGTGCATATTACACATATTACAACTGTAAAGTAGTAATAAGGACTTTTGCTGAGCATTGCGTCTATTCTTCTTGTGTTAAGTTCCATCTGTCCCCAGACAGAGCCTCTAACAAGGTTATCAAGCCTTGTCTGCATCTGGAGCAAGAGCCTGATCTGATTTCACCTGGGGTGAGATCATCTCCTCTGGTGATCTCATGTCTAACATGCCGGGAGCCTGAGCTACTGGTTACATCAAGTAGGGCCATAGCTCACATATGCAGACTAAGCCGGAAAAATATAGCACCAGTGATGGGAAATAAATATAATTTAATGACCTGTATATTTGATATATGTTACTCCAGATATATCATGTGTTTCCTTTTTAGAATGAAAAATATGTTGCTCATTCTTAAGGTGCCCATACACTGCACGATTATCGTATGATAATCGTATGCGATCGGTTTTTCGTACGATAATCGAGCAGTGTGAACGGAGACGTGCGACCGTTTCTATTGTACGGTCGCACGTCTTCTGTCGAACCAACATGTTCGAAAACCAGCCGGGAATCGTACGATTCTCGGCTGGTTAGAACGGTGCTCGGAAGACAAATGCCGAACGGGCCGGTGTGCGCACGCGCACACTGCCCGTTCAGCATTGCGTCATCAGAAGCCCGCCCCTCAGGGGGGCGGGCTTGCGATGATCGAGAGTGCGATCTGCCTGTCCAAGATAGGCAGATCGTACGTTTTTTTAATCCCTGTACAACCATCGCAAGACTAAAGTCTTGCGATGGTTGTAGAGTGTATGGCCACCTTTAAAAGAAATATACTGTATAGTACTCATTGTTTTTTCTATACTCCCTATGTGAATGTGATCCGCTTAAAGTAAACCAGTGATTTGCCCATGCTGGATAAAGCAACATTTTCACTTTAATCTTGCAGTACAGAGCTTGATTTTTTAAAGGATAAATGCAGTTTGCAGCTCAAAATAACTTTTCTAAGAGGGTATATAATTGTTTATGGACATTGAGCATGTCCTAACACAGCGATGGCGAACACATTCAATAAAGAGAACCTGTCACCTCCAAATGCTATCACACAGGCTTGTTAAAAAAAAGTAAAATAATAATAAAAGAAAACATTTTTTTTTTAAATTATAAAAAGTAAAAGATAATAATATAAAAATGTAGAAAAGTGATAAAAAAGTAAAAAATAATGAATTCATAAAAAATAAAATGTTTGAATATGTGTTGTTTCCCTATTTTGCCTAGGGCAGTGATGCTGAATGTTTTTTAAACCCCAGTGCCAAAACTAAAACACAATACCAAACTTATTTTCAGTGTTGGCACTTTGAGATATATACATTTATCACTGTCCTAACCGATTTAAATATACAAATCTGTATATGGAATACATTGTGGGAAATATGCAGCACGAAATATGTAAAAATGTAACTTCAAAAATGACCTTTGGGTACTCATACAGTATATAGTGCAAAAGGCAAGCGATCACAGTACCTCACCTGCCAGGTTTTTCGGCTGTCTGGTTCCCTTTAGGGAGATTTACCCTTTCCATTTGTTCTATCTCTGAAAGTGAAAGGTAAAGTGACACTAACCTTGGGAGTTAAATCTTAAAAATGTCCTCAAATACCTGTTAATAAAAATGTAACTTATTTGTGTCTCACTCAGCTGTAGGGCCTCAAATCATCTCTGAGGCGTGGTTCACACCTCTGCGATCCATGCGGTTGCGTTCACGATCGCCTTGCGATCCTGGAATCGTACACAAACGCAAACCGGACTTGCGCTGCTATTCATTTCTAATGGTACTCCAATTGCAGTTAGCAATCCGCAGGGTTGCGTGCCGCGGTTTCTGCACACAATCGCAGCCACACAAAAAAGTGGGTCGCTCGTCGCACAAAAAGGTGCATGAGCCTTGTTGCTGCATGGATATGACCCCGAAATCAATGGAGCCGTGCGGCACCCACGGCATGCAGCCGCCCCTGAACGTGCAGTTTCGGCCCGCATGGCCCCGGGCTGCAAAGATGTGAACTGGGCCTCATTTAACGCTGACACTGTCCTTCCTTCTGGAGGATGGCTACTTTTGATCCCCATGGTCCCTGTGTGTTGTAAAGTAGCCACCTCTCCAAGCTCACTCCCACAATGGACTACAATCTCACATTTAGTTTACTAATTTGTATTGAGATTGGAGTGCTGGCTACTTTACAGCACACACAGGGACCATAAGGGACAAAAGTAGCCACACTCGAGAAGGAAGGACAATGTCAGCATGAATTCAGAGATGATTTCAGGATCTACAGCCGAGTGATGTACAAATAAGATACATTTGTATTAATAGTTATCCTTGTTACAGTACTTAAATGCATTTTTAAGATTTAACTGCTGAGTTTAGTGTCACTTTAATAAGCCCTAGTGCTTTAGTAATGCAAAGCAAAGAGTGCTTTATCCAGCCAGGCATCCATTATATCACGACAGTTTCACTTCCTCTTCACATGCTGAAGTATAAGCTACTTGAGAGACAGAAGGAAACACCAACGTTTTGGGTTGTTACCAGACCAGGAATAGATGAGATATATTCCAATGGGGACTGTAGCATTTGGACAAGTATTTTACAGTTTGGTTTTGTTCTGAATTTTAGCCTGCAGACTACAACTATCGGGTTGTGATTAAAAAGACAATCCCTCAAATACAATATCTAGATGATGTGCCAGCTGACCAAATCAACCCAACCACACCTCGCACTCAATCAGAAGACTGGCTGATGGTAAAGGATCTAATTAAGGAAAGTGTTGGGAGCCAGATGGATTCATCTTTGGGTAAGAGCTGTAGAAAAGTAAAGGATATACCAGATAGCTGTACACAGTACTGGGTCCTGTGCACAATTATACTACACAGTTACATTCATTCTATAAAATAATAAAAATGGACTATATCCCTACGAGCTAGAATGTATCAGTATGGCAATAAATGATTTTATTGTATTTCCCATAATCACCACAAGGCACATGTAAAGTCATGGTCCAAAAATAATATCTTTGTTTTAAATCTAGTAAGAACCTATTAAATTAATATTTTGGAACTGGTAAAAGGTAATATATTTGGAAGAGTCTCAGCCCTTAATAATATTTATGAAACCAACCATCCCAATGCCATTTGACTTAAAGTGGACCTTTACCCCCTTTGGCTAAATATGAAGATATGAAATCATCTTACATTCTTTCGTGAAAACAAATATATTTTCATTTTACTTTATTATTTGTTTTCTACTTCCTGGTTCTCTTTGGCAAAAGTGATGTAATGAGCCCAACCAGTGCATCCTGCGAAAGTTACATCAGCAGATCTGTAATCTCTTGAGATCTTATTGAAAGGCATTTTCCTCCCCTGAGATGATGTGCATGGTCACATGTCCTAGTCACATGTCTAGTCACATGTGCCAGAGTTCCAGGAAGTAAAGGCAGATGGATTCATCTACCCTTAGTAAAAATGGCCACTGTGAGAAGAATGGAGAGGAAAAGAAAAATGAGGTATGCAAAGAATATAAAGCCGCCAATTATCTAGAAGTATCTGTTTGTAGATTGCTATTACTAAACACTTATAAAGGTGCCTTTTGAAGATATAGGTAAAGTTCCACTTTAAGTAGTGTTGCTTGTTATCCATTGGCTTTTTTATGAGTCCCAAAAAAATAATAATGGCGCAAGATGTCGGGTTATCCATAACAACCAGATTTTAGGTTACTATAGTCTGGTCATTGAAAGATGGTTTCTAACTAGTTGCTGCAGGACGCTCCATGATGACAATAATTTACACTATGCTCATTGTTCACCATCATTGCTCTTTTCACTGTCTTACTGAATAAGCCTGTGTATACTCTTCAAAATGAAAAGAAATGCACATTACAATGTACTAACTTGCATGTAATTATTCATAGATATTTCGCTTCAAGACTTGGGAAGTGCCCTACGAAAAGAAAATGTGAGACCCAGTACTTCCCAACCAGGGTTTGCCAGAAGGCAACTGACTGCACTAAGGCCTTCAACTGCAGGGAGAACAATCTCCAGCCTACATAGTGGAAGAGCTAGTCTTATATCTGAATCACCAGGGAATGACCCAGCAGATGATGAATCCAGTGACCTCACTCATGGTAACCTAAACATAAGATTGGATCTTGTTATTAACACTAACAGGGTTATTCACAAAAGTGTGAAGAGTTTGGAGAAGGCAGGTGAGCTGACTTGGAGAATTTCTCCAAATCAGGTTTGTTGGCCTAGATTGTTCACTTCTCCTGCCTTCTCCAAACTCTTCACCCTTTTGTGAATAACCCTGTAAATGTTCTGCCTCTTGGACCTCTTTAGTCCATTTGTTTTCATTTTAACTAGGATGGGGACTTAGGGATTTTATTTTTAGGTTCTCTATTCCAGACCTAATAAGAATTTTGCTACTGCTTATGGCCTTTAATTTTTTTAACCATGAAGTTGTAACCTTTGATGTCTAAGCTGCCAAATATATCATCACTTATAGAGCATTGTGGCACCTTATTTATTATTTTACCTCTAATTTAAAAAAACCTCTCACAATACCAGGTTTCACATGCAGGTGGTGCAGCTGATACAGTCTGAAAGTATACCTCCCCATGCCAGTGCTATAAAGCAGCCAAATGCAGAATTAGGTCTTTCTTACATGTTTTCCTAGGATTTTTTCTTTCACTTATGGATCTAAAAATGTTGGATTTTGTACATTTCATCCATTCATATTCTACTATATGCTGTACACAGCCATTACACTTTTTAGAAGTCATACATTCTGCCTAACATACTTTAGCACGTTGTTGATTTTCTCTGTTTTTATTTGTCATCCTGCAGGCATTGGTAAAGTCATCTGCGGGAATCCAATAAAGGCTCTTCGGACACGGAAGGAAAAAATGGGGGTAAATTTCAACAAAATAAATAGGCATTTTGTTTGGGTAAAAATTGTATATTACCTATTAAAACATAGCTACATAGGTAGGGTGAAAAATGACACTAGGTAATGAATCTAATAGATAAATAAATTGAAAACCCACATCCACAGAACCCTAAACCCACTGCCTGAATTTTGGGTATAGATGAGCATGTAACTCACTTTTGGTGAAAGCATTGGGCCAAGCATGGCCATAATATCAGGAGTTCATAGTTAGGGCTTTGTGTGTGGGAAGGCACATCCTCGCTGCAACCATGAAGATTCCACTAGGGGAATCATTGTAATTCAGGGATGTAGTGCAGGCAACATTGAAACCAGCAGACAGGAAACAACTAACATGGAAATATTCAGAATGTTGTTTAGAAAGTTTCCCACCTCCCTGGTAGTTGGAGGGTGCTCAGTAGGAGTTAGCAAGGTCTACCCAGTGTCTGAATACTGGCTGTACTCAAAGGCATGAATTGAAATGGTAACCTTTTATTTGTTTGCTTTAGGAAGGCTCTAGCTAATATCTGTGTGAAAATAATGTGCATGGATGCATTTTTAAACTGCAGGGAAAGACCATGCTGATCATATTATAGTCAGAAGCCTCATTAAGAATACGGAATTTGAAATATAGAATTCCGAATTTGAAATTCGAAATATAGAATTCGGAAAACGGAATTCCGAATACTGAACTCGAAATTTGCAATTAGAAATTTGGAATTCAAAATATGGAATTCCGAATTTGAAATTTGGAATATGGAATATAGAATTTGAAATATGGAATTTGGAATTCTGAATATAGAATTCAGAATACGGAATTCGGAATTTTTAAATATGGAATTCAGAATACGGAATTCGATATATGGAATGCGGAATTCAACATCTGGAATTTAGAATACGGATTTTGGAATATAGAATTTGGAATATGGAATTCTGAAAACGGAATTCGAAATATGAAATTCGGAATTCAACATTTGGAATATGGAATTTGGAACATGGAGCCCGGAATATGGAATTCGGAATGTGGCATTTTGGAATTCAGAATACAGAATTTGGAATTCAGAATATGTAATTTGACATACAGAATTTGGAATTTGGAATATGGAATTCGGATTATGGAATTTGGAACACGGAATTTGGAATTTAGAATTCGTACATTATGGAATTCTGAATATGGAATTCTGAATATGGAATTTGGAATTCTGACTACGGAATATGGTTTTCGGAATTCAGAATATCAAATTCAGAATATGGAATTCGGAATATGAATGCGGAATATGGTTTTCAGAATATGGAATTCAGAATATGGAATTTGGAAAACAGAATTCACAATTTGGAATACGGAATTTGAAATATGGAATTCGGAATATAACATCTGGAATTAGGAATACAGAATTTGGAATACGGAATTTCGAATATGGAACTTGGAATACGGAATTTGAAATATTGAATGCGGAAAATGGAACAAAGAATATGGAATTCAGAATATGGATTTCGGAATTTGGAATTCAGAATACGGAATTGGAATATGGAATGCAGTATTTAGAATTTGAAATATGCAGCTCGGAATAGTGAATATGGAATTCAGAATACAGAACTTAGAATTCTGAATACGTAATTTGGAATATGGAATTTTGAATTCTGAATACTGAATTTGGAATATGGAGATCGGAATTTGAAATTCAGAGTACGGAATTCAGAAATAATGTCTATGCTGTCACACAATTCTCTTTCCATTTTGAAAAGTAAAATATACACTTTATACTTTATTGGCATGAACAGCTGCTTGCTGTATGTCCTTTTCAAAATGTAACCTACTCCAACTGCATCAACGTTGACTATGGATTCTTTGCAATAATTCCAGCTGCTGACTCTGAAATAATACACTCTAGTTCTTATTTCATTATAATACCTGCCTGGTCTCTGCCTCTGACGCCTAGAAAAAAAGGATGAAATAGTGTGCATGATGTCAGTATTTCTGGCCTTTAATGCATAAATAATAAATAATACATTCTAAAATGTATTTGGTGATATAGCCTGTCTCATCTCTTCCATTCAACTGTAGCCAAATAAAAAACACTTGCATGATGTGCAGCAAGTCTGTGCAATATTTCTGGCTTTCAGCTCTGAAATAATGCAACCTAATTTTTATTGCATGATAAAAACTTGCCTCGTCCCTCCTTCATACACTGCAGCCTCATCAAACTTAGATAATTTCCAGCCACTGTGCTATATAGTTACATAGTATTTGAGGGTGAATAAAGACACAGGTCCATCAAGTCCAGCTATGTGCAAAATATGGCACTGTAGTTTTTAGTTCAGCACACTAAGTACCCTGTCTCTGGAATGTGGGATTGTGGTCTTCAGTGTTTTTCTGCACTCTGTGTTGACAATTGATTAAACATTTTAGACAAAACAATGAGGGAGATTTATCAAAACTGGAGCAGCTGCTCATGGCAACCAATCAGCTTCTCTCTATTTCATTTTCAAATCTTAACTGAATAAACTGAAGAGAGAAGCTGGTTGGTTGCCATGCGCAGCTGCTCCAGATTTTGTTTGCTCCAGTTTTGATAAATTCCCCTCACAGTGTACTATTAAAATACAGAACATTGAAGGAATACTAGTCTGTAGAACCAATAAAGGAAATATTCCAGCATGCTGGAAAAATCTAGCCCAAACTGCTCTGTTTATGTGCTGGATGCGATACTTTTGTTTTATTGATGTTTTTATTAGCACGTTTACACTATGAAAGTTGTACTTTTTGTTTCAATGTGCCAACCTGTATTGCATGTTTTCCTTTTGTCGGTCTAATAAACCTTTCCTTTTCAGCTAAATCCTATGAGGAATCTCCAGTCACAGGGACAAAAGCCTGAGCCGGATGCAGTGGTGTCTTCTCAGAAAGACCGTGATGATGTGTTTGGAGAGCTGAAAGCCTGGAGAGAAAAGCACAATGAGTAAGAACTTTCACAGACATTTGCCTATCTAGAACACTCTGGAAATAGTGTTGGTAATAGCATACAGTCATATAGCTTTCAGTGTTAACACAGGACCAACACACATGACTGGACAAGAAAAGAAGCCCTGGTAGACCAAATGTATCCATTCAACTTCAGAACCTCTTTCCATATGTGAGGCTTAAAAGACATGGGGCCACTGACCTCTTATAGAACCTGTTGTCTTTGGGGCAGGTCACTTTGCTGCAATTCTCAAGAAATAAAACATAAGAAATCAGCAGTTGGTTTAATCTCACCATGTTCACTCATAGCTGTCTTTTGGGGGGAGGTATCTTTTCCTCAATATACATAAGAAATCAGGGCTGATTCAAGCACACAATATTCAATCATATCTGTCTGGGGGGGATATCTCTTTACTGAACTCCTCAACAGATATAAGAAGTCAGTGGCTGATTCAAACCCACAATGTTCACCCATAGTTGTTTCTGGGGGAACACCTCTGTGCTCAACTCTTCAACAGACATAATAAATGAGAGGCTAATTCAACCTGACTGTGCTCACTTACTGTATATCTAAAACATTTGATTTCATTAGATGCACTCTGTAAGAAAAAAATACAAGAAAGTGTGCAGAGAAACACGTTTTATTTGTCATTTTGGAACATTCATTACTACCACAGTGTCTTATATTTTTTTTGGATCAAAAAAACACACTAGGTCTTATTTTTGGGGTAGGTCTTATTTCTTTTTTTAATGTACAACAATCCACACTTAATCATGTAGAAAAGTCTACATGTATCCACGTACAAAAATATGGTGATCAGGGCCATCAGGGGTGCCGTACCTTTCCAAGAGCAATTTGCTAACCAATCGCTGGCTAGAATGAGTGAAGCGCACTTTCACTATGGATTCCTCCACAGGCGGAGTGCATTTGGTATCACACCACCTGTGACAGGAGCCGGCGCTATAGAGGAAACAGCGGCTTATGCGGCTCTGCTCCCTCCGGTGCCGCCTCGCTTCGTTGGCACTGCTGATTCTCTCCCACGGCTGTTCACTTATGCCACCAACAGCCCTGGGAATGGTCATAACTAGGTCTTATTTTCGGGGTAGGTCTCATATTTTAGCAATTCCCCAAAAATAGTACTATGTTTTATTTTCGGGGTAGGTCTTATTTTCGGGGAAACAGGGTATAGTGTTGCCAGGTCAGACCTCCTGCATGATTGCTTTTTTAAGCCTCCTTTCATCTGTTTTGTACATGCATTGGGAACAATCAGTAGATCAAGTCGCTTTCTGGACGAAGGCCAACGTTGTCACTCTAAATTCATTTCTTTCAGGGTGTTGAAGAGGATTCGGGATCAACGTGCTCCTCAGGTTCTCACTATAAAACATAGTGATGAAGAGGAAGAGGACAGTTTGTCTTCTGGCAGTGAAGATGTAGAACTAGAAGATTCCTGGGACTCACAAAGTTTGATAAGAGTCACTCCAGATAGCTCAAGCCCGTCTCCTCGATCACCTGCAAGTGAGATATGATTTTCTTTCATGGACAATTACTAGAAAATTACAAACAACCCAAAATACATTTTTATAACATATTTATACTGTCTGTAGTCATTATGATATAATGTAGGTCATATATGTTCACATCTTTCTTTCTAGGTGACATAAATATGAATATGAGACGTGCTTCTTATCCTTACAAGTGTAGCAAACACCAGCAACTGGACTGCTCCAATACCTGATATTATCCAAACAGTTAGCATCCCTGCCCCAGCAGTTCAGGGCTCCACATGTCTATAACCAGTCCCTGAAGAAGGAGGCCTTGTACCCCCTTAAATGCATTGTCATTTACTTTACAGTAACACAGATTCCTTTACACTCTACTAGCCTATAGATTCATTATTTTGCCCTCTACATTCAGTCCAAGATTGTTCCTGAGTGTTTTGCAAGGACCTATGGTTTGAGCGCAGCCTTTCTGCTTGTTAGGGTCTGTATTGAGGGGTTTTTGGTCACTGCACTTGTTTTGCATTCCCATACAAGTATATGGGAATGCAAAGCTCGCTTGAATCAGTCCATGTGCAGGTCACAAGGAGGTGAACTGCAAGTCGAATTCACTTCAATAAATTCTGAATGACCTCAGAAGCATCTCAAAGTAATGCAAAACACAGTGGCTTAGTAGTTAGCACTTCTGCCTTGAATCACTGGGGGGGGGGGTCCCTAGTTTGAATCCTGGTCAGGACACTGTATGAAGTTTGCATGTTCTCCTTTTTTTTTTGTGGGTTTCCTCTCACACTCCAAAGATAAGCTGGTAGGTAAATTGCCCCCCCTTGTGACTAGACAGTGAAAGGAGAAGCATCACACTGGTGAGCTCATCTTCACTCTGCTTTCTCCTCCTTTTAGCATGCTACTTTCTTTGTAGCACAACTAATTGGCTCCTAGTGCTCTTTCTTCAACTCCATTGTCTCCCTTTAGGCAAATATTGCTTATTCCAAAGTTCAGGTTTAAAATAAACCGATTTAAAGGGATCAGAAGCTGCCCACCCATAGTTAGCTTTTCTATATCAGATCAGAATATTGAAGCAATTACATCATCGAGTAATCAGATGGAAAAGTGTGGGGCACCATTAACCAATTCTGAGGGTCATTTCCACTTTCATAATAACTCCAACATTACCTGATAATTGTTTGAGGTACTCGGATCATTACTATGGAGCATCGCACAGGAAATAATAAACTCAAATCCGCCCCCTGACATGTTTTTTTATTGACATTTGTAATGAAAATCTAATAAATGTTAATGCAGCATCAAGTAGTTAGGATTGTGGAAGACGGGAGCCAGAGGTGTGTGAGGCGACACCAGCCCACCTCCCCTTCGGAATGAGTCCCATACCATCATAGAACAGGACAAAGTCGGGGCCATAATGACCGGCCTCTGCCTTGGGGACATCCACTTCAAGGCATCAATTAGACTATAGTGTAGTGGTTAAAGCACAGGACTGCCATTGTGAAGGTTGCTGGTTCAAATCCAGGTATGGGAAAGTAAAAAAAAAAAAAAAAAATTTCATAAAGCATCAAGTAGTTTCTGACAGTTAGTGAGCACTGCTATCCGAGCTCAAGACATGAAAAGAGAAGGTCGATCCAAAGCCTTTGATGCGATCTCTGCTGTGATTTACCCTTGCAGATTAGAAATTGATTAGTAGCAATGAATATCATCCTACAGAACCACCAACCAGCACTGTTTATGTTTCTTGTCTGATCAGGCCAGCTTGGAGAGATGAGTTTCCAGGATGCCCCACTTCAGCCATCTCCACCTATTACGCCATACCCACCATCTTCTGCCACTGGAAATTCACGCCTCAACAAAGGAGCAGATATACGAGCCAGACGCTTAATCCGAAGTACCAATCAGAGTAAAAACCTTACCCCAAGGGCAATGGAAGCAAATGCATTCTTGGCGGATGAGGCATTCCTGCTTACCGATTTGGATGACAAAAACTTTAGGATTCCAGTCCTGTCCCATGTGATGCAAGGTGGAAGGACTGATTCTGGATATTCATCTGCAGCTTGTATACATTCCAGGTGAGTGTTCAAGTGTTTGAGGGAACAGAAACTAATAAAGTATATGCATAGCCAAAAAATTTTTGGGATAGAGTATTGCAGAGCTAAAACCTTTTGTACTCCATCGTATTACTTCCTGTTCTGGGGACTCAACAGCAAGTGAGAGGAAATTTCTCCAATGTGAGGGGAAATCTACTCTTAAAAAAGAACTCTGGGCTATACTTTTATGACCCCTCGTTGTGGGGCTCCTCCTTCACTGCAAGGCTTAAGTGTTTGTTTTTGTCTAGGTGCTAAAATAAAAAAGATATACTAACCCGAACCACGGAGAAGGGCCAAGGTTTAGTGCAAGGTTTGCTTTGGGTAGTAATAGCACTGCTTCACTATATCTGGGGTAGGCAACCTCCAGCTGTTGTGGAACTACAAGTCCCATGAGGCATTTTAAGACTGACAGCCACAAGCATGACTACCCAAGTAAGAAGCAGGATGGGATTTGTAGTTGCACCACAGCTGGAGTGCCAAGGATGGTGCCTCCCCATGCCCGTCACGGCCGGCTCAGCCCAGCTGTTATTCATTGGCCAGGACCTGCTTGAAGAGTCTAGCAGGTGCCGGCCAATAGGAAACAGTTGGGCTGGCTAGCTGTCACTGCTAGCTCCCCCCAATTGTTTTTTGTTTTTCTCATTTTTTTTAATTGAATATTTATATACATTTTTAAACATATTTTTTCAACTTTTTTTTTTTTTCTACTTTTCTCCTTATTTTCTATTCTGCTCGGTACCACGGAGGTACCAAGCAGAATAGCAGAGCCGAATGCCACTCATGTGAATAGGGGCGAACGGCAGCAAGGGAGCTGCTGGAGGCTTCGGCTCAGCCAATCCAGATGTTGGATCGGCTGAGTCGAAGTCCTTCTGCACTTCGGCTGACCACAGTGCAGACGACGCACGGCGGATTTCAGCCGATGTATGGCTGAAATCAGTACTGAGCCGTAGTGAATAGCCGAACGTTGTTCGGCTCGGTTATTCACTCGGCTGCCTTCGGTTTGTGAATAACCCCCTAAGTGTGTTTAATATTGTTTTTGAGTTTGCCACTATAATACCAAAGCTACCCCACAATAGCCCAGCTACCTGAAACCAGACCACTGCTGCCTCCATGCCATGGAGTATTGGCAGTGCTGATCGTATCTGCTGGATGTCAGGAATCTAAATGTATTTTAACCAGCTATGGTATTCAAAATACTATACAGTGTACTGCATGTGTCATTGGCAGGTTAGTACCTGTGTATATTTTGGGAGATTTGGACATGAAAGGTGCAATACCAAAGAGAGCTGTAAACAATGGAGATCATAGTTCAATGCATGTATCACATTAACGTATACATGAATCTACCATTGTACTGTATACTCATTGTGTTCTTGTGAACATGTTCTTGTTGTTTAGGTCTACAGTAGAAAGAAATAGTCCTACATTTATTACCTCCCATCAACCAGTCATCCGCTCCCTCAGTAAAATGCCAGAGAGGCCATCACCACCGCCTATTATTCGCCCTGTTACATCAACGAGCATCCTGCAAAGATTGCCAAATAGACCAACTCTTCTAACAGCCAGCAAGACTTCAAACACATAGGTTGGCATATGACGATGGGGAAAGGTGATTAACTTCACGCTGCTGACCACAGACAATTGCATCTTGCTGCTGTTTTGGGATATTAGCATGATGTGCAAATGCATATACAAGCAAGGAGAGGAAGAGTCCACAGGATAGGAAGCTTGCAAAGGAATGCAATTACAATATTAAAAGGATAAGTAACAATGATCTCCAGAGGAAAACGCTCTTATATTGGCTGATTTGTTTCAATTGTTGCACTTTAGCCTTCGTATGGGAAACATTGCAATAATGCTATAAGGAATCTAAATGTGTTATGGGATGTTAACTAAATGTGGGATGTGAACTAAATGGATCTTTCACATATTGGATTGTTGATCACACAGTCACTCCATTACTGTCACATATTCTGTCTCATGTATACTGTTAGGGACTTGAACTTCTTTCTAGAGACTCAAACTGCAACCTCAACCCTGTTGGCGTCCACCAGAAGTCCTAACGGGTATCCTCATTAGCATGTAGTTACACCAGGTAGGGCAGCTATGCAGATATGGATACGGAAATCCTCCCGTACATGAAAAGAGATAAAAGAAACAACGCCTTCTCCTCGTGTGATACCATTTATTAAAACAGAGTGTATAAATCAGATGACCATTATATTCACATGTTCAGTCCAGATAACGTCAGCTAACAGTTCCGTGATCAGTAACCCAAGTACGGAACAGAGAAGACAAAGAGATCCTTCAGCATGCGATGGGGGACAATAGCTAACATGTTTCAGGGGTTACACTTCAGAGCTTACTGTATCCAATACAGTAAGCTCTGAAAAAGGGGGTTTAAAGTAAAGGCAAAATGTCCCCGTCCCCCCATGCTAGTGTAAGGACTTACCTTAAATGATGCCTCTTGATCCGATCATCTTCTTCTTTACAATAGTTTTCAGGAGTCCCTCCAGCACTGGTGCCGGTTTCTGATCCAGCGCTGACTCCTGTCTCTTCCTGTCCCACGGTGTCTGTGCGGGTGCACGCTGCTGCATTGACTTACCTTGTGTCTCTCCTCTTCTCCCATCCGAAGAGCTGAACTATACATGCGCCTGCCCCATGATGCTTTGCGGCCACCCAAGAATCTTCAGATCTGCGGAGTGGAGCGCGCGGCGGAGACACATGTAAGATTTAACCCTTTTGTAAACTTTTTTGTATATGTATGTACTGCTTGCTAGATATGCAAAAAACGGGAGGCTTTATTGATCCTTTAAGGGGAGTGTCCTCTTTTCCGTTCTTGGGTGATCACAAATTGTTCGCTGATGTCATCTGGACCGAACATGTGAGTAGAATGGACATCCTATTTATACACTGTGTTTTAATAATCGGTGTCACACGAGGAGAAGGTGCTGTTTCTTTTATCTCTTTCCAGAGACTGTTAGCTGAAAGTAAAATAAATATATTTATTTTAATGATTTGTATGTCATTGAAACTTTTTCCACAGCCCTTTACAGAGACCATTAAATTATTAATGTGAGTCCCCGCTGCTTAATTAGTTTACAATGCAATGTCCTTACCACAGTCATACCCAACCAATAGGACCCGTTTAGACTACTAGTTTACTTTACACTGTGGGAAGAAAAAATTGTTATCATGCACAGAATATACAGACTCCATTCTGACATCATCCTTGGTGACATCAGAACCCCAGCACTGCCAGGGAAGAGGGTGAACAATTAGGCCTTATTAAAAGTATAAAATATGAATTTGGCTAGAAGAGCGCTAATGATAGTCTCATTGTGTAATAGCATGTGTAGAAAAATGATATCCTTGTATGTTCCAATCTCCAATGAGAAATGTAGCACACTATGTACACTAAAAACATATTTTCTTTATTCCAGATTAGCGTCAGACTCATGATAAAAGCTCTGACAGGTTCCCCCTGTACCTAACACTTTGTCATAGAGTACACCGTTCTTTCACAAAGCTCTGAGTACGGCGAGAAACACATCAGAGCTTTATTTTGCATCCTAGGTGAATTTGGAATAAAGAAAATAAGTTTTTAGGGCACACAGCTCATAGCAATCGTTCCATTTTTCTTATTTGTATGTAGTTGAGGCTCGGAATGAACCTAGATCTGCACCTATGTTCTTCTGGGCTGGCTATGTATAGATCAACCAAGAGGAGGTGTTGGATCATATTGTATATTCCAGTACTCATAATTCATTATATGTGCAAGTACTGGTTTTCAATGTATAAAATGTTCTCCATACTTAAGATAATGAGAACACATAGGGGTGCATTTAAAAATTGTCTACATAGTGAACAGCTCTGCAAACAAGATTTGCAGCACATTATGGTCACTAGATGGAGTTTGGGAGCACAGGAAATTTCTCAGCTCCCTCGAGTGGCCATAATGTGCTGCAAATCTTGTTCTAAGAGCTGTTTGCTGTGCGAATGGTTTATAAATACACCCCATAAAGTGCTATGCAAATCATATAAAATATAACAATGTCATATTGAGGTGTTCAGCACATATAGTAGGACTTTATGATAGAAGTTAGAGGGAAATAGAGATGAGATATATTTGATATAATTTCAACTACAGGAAAGAATGAGAGAATAAGTACATGAGAGATTATTAGGAAGACACCTTTTTATCACAGTGATCCACCAGGTCTCCTAAGCAATGTGGTTTGCATGAGGGCACAAACATATAGTACAAGACAAGCCAAATTGTCACACTTATGTTCTGTCAAAACATTACAAAACTCAGTTTCATGTAAAGAACTGGCCAATGCAGATGTGATTTACACTCATTGGGGAATTGGAGGGTTTAAGGTATCATTAAATGTCCCTGGACAGAATCCTCTGTAACATTTTAGGTTGTTCATCCCAATATTCATGAAATCACACTTATAACATATTATGTACACCTATATACCCCTAATACTTATATATGGATGTCTAGTTAGGTCAAGTCTATTTCTGATTCCCGACTTTCATTGTACTATAAGTAGGGACAATCTGTTATCACAAAGAACTCCCTTTTCTTTGTATTATTAGATATGGGACATCATATGGAATGTGGGAAATGTGTCATCATGGCTGTGATACTCACCTCTCTTGTTCTTATTTTAGGTTTCTTTGTTGCTAATGTTAGTGTGTTTATTTGTGTGGTCTGTCAGGGGCTATGGCCAAGTTATATGCCATCCAGTGCACAATCTCTGGCTGTAATCACGACTTTTTCTGGTGAAAGTCAGAATCCAAACCTAGAAATGAGTGTGAAAATGTTCTGTCTCTTTAGATTGGCTGTTAGACAAACTCGTTTCATTTATGTCATCCTATCCTCACTGTGTCAGCTACTGGCAATCTGAACTGACGATAAAGTGGCAACAATTTTGCACAGATGTTGTCAACAATGCAGTCATTCCAAGGGTCTAGCCATTCTTGAACGTTTGTTAGTTGGTTGTCAGCCTTTTGAACATGCTAACCATCTGCAGATTTCTCTTACTCAGATTTAGCTGGCAATTCCAAATACCGGTAAAGCGAACCTGTACATTGTTTTTAATATGTAGATCTCCTGATCTACGTATTTGTTCCCATTCAGTCTCTCAGGATGTATTGAAGTCAATGACACCACGCAACTGACATTTTGAAAAGGAGTGTTCCACAAAGGCAGACTGCACATTTCTATTCTTCCAGGTTCAGTTTTAAGGTGTATTCACACTTTTGCTGTCAAATTTGAGAAATCCCTAATATATGTTTTCTTACCTTTCTAACTTGGTTTGGAGTAAAATTAGACATAGGACACTACAGGCAACGTCTAGTGCAGACCTGAGCGTTTTATGGCCCATATGCTGTATGTGGCCCTTTGTCTATCCCTGTTCGGCCCGCGGTCCGGATACAGACTGATCACCAAAATGCGCTCGGTTATGACTGGGTGGTCCTAGCAACCAGTGACTTCAAATGTGTTCCTGTCCCCAGCATTACAGGAGGATAGAAGAGTATCTTCCTCCCCCACAGCTTCACCTCCCGCCTCTGGCCTATCAAGAAAAAAGAAAAGAAGATATGTGCCACATATTTATACATATCACATACTATGTGGGGACAATCACATTGCGGCCGGGAGTTTTGTTTTGGGTGCCATTCAAATGAATGGCAACACAATGCACCTGCTACATTGTAAGGTGCGAGGGATCAGGGCAATAGATAAGGTGGTCCTAGAATAAAACAAATAAATGGAGGTTTTGGATGATAGGAAAATTGAAGGAGGATCAAGAGGGAAAAGCGAGAGAACAAGGTTAAATCAGATGGGAGACAAACAGATGAAGGTACTGAACCTAATGGGACGACGCAGAGGAAATGGAGCAGCACTGTGAGATCAGAGAAAACAAGAGGTAATAGTGCATTGGGGATAATGGGCTTGAGGGTGTTTGGGTGGAATGTGTCCACTGACCTATATGGTTCCATTCTTTAAATCATTGTGAGGGTTTGCTGTTTATATTATGGAACAGATTTTTTTTTTTTTTTTACCTTGCTAATTTATTACGTTTTGAGGGGGATGCTTGGTATTTCTTAAAATATCTTCCTATACTAAGCATAGTGAAATCACCTATTACCTGCTTTGTTTAATGCCTTAAAGGGCCAGTCCTCTCAAAACTAAGATTTCATTTTTGGCAGATATCAGGAAATTAATTTATCCCTAGCTCCTTAAATCTTTTGGGGACTCCGATGGTCTAAATATTCAGATCTACATTCCATAGGCAGCCATTATAAGCAGTTGTCACTCTTAACTTAGATTTTTTAATTCATTTTACATTATAAATCCTGAGGACTGAGACTTCTGTGTTTGTGCACGGTGATGAGAGCCAGAAAAAAAATGGTGAGTGATGTGTGATATGTCTGTTTATGACTACTAACTTCCGAAATACCGGTTCCTGGTTAATTGACCCTTTAAACTCAGAGGACATGCCCCTGGATTGTGTCCCTATTGCTCAAACCCCTTTTCTTATTTGTGTTTTGAGATCAGAAATGTCCTTTTGCTGTGTTTGGATGTATATTAATGAATTAACATTTACTTGTAATATGTTATTTGTTGCTACAGTGAAAAAGCAAGACAATCATATTTTTCCACGCTGAAAATTCGAGTTTGTATAAATAAAATTATTTTTTAAACAATTTGTAAGAGTCATTCATGCACACAGAGTTCTATTTAAATATCTCTAAATATTAAATAAATAGAATTGTAAGATTTTCATCCTGGTCAAGTGTATTACCTAGTCTTTTATTCTTCAACTATAAGCCCTGGGGGACTGGTGAGCCCCTGAAATGCGTCGGCTACTTCTGTAACTCTTACTTTCCTTTACGTTCGGAAATACAAATTAACTGGACCTATTAAACTTAGTTGGTGCTCCCACTTCTTGGCGGTATTTCTTTTTTACTTCTACTACTACAGTGCTTGCAAAGTATTCTTTACATTAGTGTCCAACACTCCACCAACGCTTCAATCTCTGAAAAAAATAGAAGAAAATTCATCCAAAACTATACAAAATATGAACAAATAACTAAAATAAATGCTTAACAATAACACAAGTAAGAAAATATAAATATTATACAATTAATTTTCATGTACCGTATCCAAAAAGAAGAATGACAAAAAAGATTTGATGTAACAAGTGAAATCTAAAGAATGTAGTAGCAAGGCAAGTGTTTCTTGAGGCCACTAGATGGTAGCAGCATACTATAAAATCCACATACAATATAATATACTCCAGACCCGTGTTTCTCAACCTTTTTTCCAGTCACCCTTTAAAAGTATGTAAAGTCTTGAGGCACCCCAGTCTAAAGTGTAAAAACCGTCATTGTAAAAATGTAAAATACCACATGTGGTCCCTCTAAAATTCATACAAGACCCTTAGGCCCTGTTCACATGAGTTTCAGGTCCTGATCAGGTGCGGATCAGCAGACGCGGTGCTATTTGTTTAATAAAACATTTTTTTTTGCTGGAGTGGGGCTGTCAGTATGTTAGCTGCATTGCAGTGCGTTTTTTGACGTGTTTTGCGTTTCCGGACCGTACAAAATGTGACATGCAGTATTTTTCTGTCGTAGCCTGAACGGACTGCGCACGTGAGAACTGTAGCCCATAAAACACATTGGGATGCATTTTTAGTGCAGGACCGTACGGATCAGGTCAGCACAGAAAACGGACGTCGTGTGAACAGGCCCTTATACGAGATAGAGGCCTGGTATAGATTTTAAAAGTGGATAGGGTCAGGGCTTTTCCCCATAGTTCTCCTTAGGTTAACGGGAGGACACAAACTAGCGTCCTCCCGTCACCCTAAGCTCAGTATACTGGTGGTAGCTCGCGGTATACTGAGACGCCGCAGCCGGAGCAGATCCCGACATCGATGTCGAGATCCGCCCAGCTGCGTGACTTGTCGAGATCCGCCCAGCTGCGTGAGTGACAGCTGGTTTTGCCTATCTAGAGGCAGAGCCAGCTGTACCCGCCCCCTCCCCCGTCCGTTCTGCCAGTCAGCGCTGGTGGATCGGAGCAGGTAGGGGGGAATCCAGCCCCTCCCCTGTCACGGCAGAGAGCGGTGACAGGATCGAGAGGTGAGCGAACGCCG